ACACACACACACACACACACACACACACACACACACACACTGGTTCTATCCCTGTCTTTCTGCATGTGTGTGGATCTTGTTCTTGCAGCTGCTATCTTGGTTACGCAGCTCACCACTCCTTACGTTCGCATCGCTCCGGCCGCTGGAGACAACCAGCTAACAGGTCAGAAACTCACTCACTCACTGCATGTGTGTGTGGATGAACTGAAGAATCTGTCTCTAACATAATCTTTGCAGAGATAAAGCGCTGATTACATCAACTTGTACAGTGTTCAGTGTTATTTTAGTGTTGTTGACGTTTTTAAGTACTATCTTCATTTTAATTTTATTTAAAGTTTTAGTTTTTTTTTTTTGTTGTTGCATGATTTAATCATTTTATTATTTTTGTATATGTCTATATAATTTTTATTCATTTGTATATTAGTTTTAGTTATTTTAGTGCTTTAAGTTAAACCAAAATGCTAAATGTTGTCTTGGTAACTAGCTGAAATAAAACAAGTTTTTTATATTTTATTTCAGTTAATTTTCATTTTATTTCAATGTTTTTTATGGGTTTAGTTAATGATAATAACTGAACGACCCTCCATTAACCCAACGTCCTCTTTTAGTAAGAAATATGTCAAAACAAGAAAGTAATTTGCACTCATTGTATGAGTTTTTCAAACGTATGAAGCTAAACGTGAATTTAGGTGTTTTTAAGCCCATAAAGTATCTCAGACAAATATGTTTCTTTAAACACAAGCAGGTCTCTTTCATTTGTCATCGCAAACTATCTCTGTCATTATCAGACTGATGCACATGAGCTGCATTTATTGCATTGCGCTTTATATTCAAGGTTGAAATAGACCCATGGTTTGATTAAATCAGCGGATGAATGTGGTTCTTCTGATTCAGCTGCAGTGACAAACACATTTCCTGACCAACAAAGAGAGAAAAACATGGAACCTGAAATGAATTAAATGAGAAACACAAATTATTTCCTGTATGTTTCCTACTGAAACAGGAAGTTAAGGATTCCGGTCCCATCCCTGAGCAGGAAATGATGTCATCAGTATTCTGTACATTTTTAATATCTATATCTGCTGCTTTATTTTATTTGATCAGTGCACACTTTCAGTTGTACACAAGCATATTGATGAGCTCAAAACGATAGACAACAATGAAATGTTATGTTTAAATATGAAATGAGGTATCATCTAATCTAATTTCCAGAACATAAATCTGAACGTTGGATAAAGCCAGGTTCAAAATTCTCATTTGATTTTGGTGACATATTAGAGTTAAACGTTTTTACTGGGGTGATTTTGGATTTCTCTTTTTACATTTACATTTAATCATTTAGCAAATGCTTTTATACAAAGCGACTTACAAACGAGAAGAACAATAGAAGCAATCAGACCAACAAGAGAGCAACAGTATACAAGTGATGTGACTAGTTAGTCTAGCACAGTACACATAGCAAGGCTTATTTTTAAATAAATTAGAAAAAAAAATTGAATAGAATAGATACAATAAGTGCTAGTATTAGTTGGTCAGGTGCTGACGAAAAAGATGTGTCTTTAGACGTTTTTTGAAAATGGCTAAAGACTCAGCTGCTCACACTGAGAGAGGCATATTGTTCCAGCAGCTGGGAACAGTCCAGGAAAAGGTCAATGAGAGTGATTTTGTGCCTCTTTGGGATGGCACCACGAGGCATTGTTCACTTGTAGAACGCAAGCCTCTGGAGGGCGCATAAGTCTGAACAAGCGAGTTTAGGTATATTGGTGAAGATCCAGTGGTTGTCTTGTAGGCGAACATCAGTACCTTGAATTTGATGCGAGCTGCTATTGGCAGCCAGTGCAAACTGATGAAGAGAGGTGTGATGTGAGCTTTCTTCGGCACGTTGAAGACCACTCTGGCTGCTGCATTCTGGATAAGTTGCAGAGGCTTGATAGTACATGCCAGAAGACCCGCCAAGAGAGCATTACAATAGTCCAGTCTGGAGAGAACAAGAGCTTGGACAAGGAGTTGTGTGGCCTGCTCTGATAGGAAGGGTCTAATCTTCCTAATGTTGTGTAAGGCAAACCTGCAGGACCGGGCTGTTGTAGTAATATGGTCTGTGAAGCTTAACTGATCATCAATCACAACTCCAAGTTTCTTGGCTGTCCTGGAAGGAGATATGGTTGACGAACCTATCTGTATTGAGTAGTTGTGATGAAGTGCTGGGTTGGCTGAGACCACGAGCAGTTCTGTCTTCGCAAGGTTGAGTTGAAGGTGATGGTCCTTCATCCAGCCAGAGATGTCTGTCAGACAGGCTGCAATGCAAACAGCTACCGTCGGATGGAATGAGAAGAGTTGAGTGTCATCAGCATAGCAGTGACAAGAAAAGCCATGCTTCTGAATAACAGATCCTAATGATGACATATAGATGGAGAAGAGAAGCGGTCCAAGCACTGAGCCTTGAGGAACCCCAGTAGCAAGAAGTTGTTACTTAGAAACCTCACCCCTCCAAGACACCCTGAAGGACCTACCTGAGAGGTAAGACTTGAACCACAGGAGTGTGGTTCCTGAGATGCCCATCTTCATGAGG